CGTGGCCCCGCTCTCCGATTCGCCACTCGTCAACAGGACTTGTGAGTGGCGAATCTTTTGGGAAGTTGGCAGAAAAACAACTCTGCATCTCTGTGATTACTTCTGGTCGAGCCGGCCGAGTCAGGCAGCCCACAGAAGGTGGCCGACGGAGGCCTTGATTGGCATTCTGTCGTTTATGTGGCTCAACAGGTGTGTGTACACACCTGTCATTGTATGTGTACACACACCTGTCATTGTATGTGTGTACACACCTGTCATTGTATAGTAACGAGAGAGGAACTACTCGTTCGTGAGATATGGACGGGGGCGGTTGTAAAAGAGTTAACACCTCCCTCTGACAACTGACTTGAGCACCTGTCAACCCAGTGATTAAAACCCTGAATAACCTCAAGTTCGTGGCAGAGCTTGAGTTCCGTTTAGACACGACGTTTTAAGACAGCTTTAGACACTAACACTCCATTTTAGACAGTTTTAGACACCAAAACTCCATCTTAGACAGTCTTAGACACTAAAACTCCATCTTAGACAGTTTTAGACACCAAAACTCCATCTTAGACTGTTTTAGACTCCAAAACTCCATCTTAGACAGTTTTAGACACTAAAACTCCATTTTAGAACGCGCGTTCCATTTATATAAGCGCATGTGCGCGCTCGCCTTTTGAATCTCAAAGTCATTTTTGGGGGGAAGCATAAGTGGATTGGTACCTCCTGTGAATGTGCTGTCATTCTATTCCATATTACTCTCCCTCCTGGTGGAGGAGGCCTGGACGAGGACCGGGCCGCGGGGATGCTAAGGCCCGAAATCATCTCAAGATAACCTCATCTCAAGATAACCTCCTTGAAAGGGTCCAGATCGAAGATGCATTTCCTATGTTATTCCTTCAGTTCTTGAGTACTGATTTTGATTTTAAAGTAAGACTGGCATTCATTAAGAGTAGTGCTAATGTTCACGATTGTAACTGCTAGTTGAGTGCAGTTATCCTACAGCAGCTCACTTGGTAAATGAACCCTAGAAACTAATTTAATGAGCTTATTGTGTAATTCTCATTAGAAATACACTTGATTTAATGTTAAGTTGCAATTATTATTAGGTTTAGCATGATGTTGGCTCGAACTGTTTGCCTAGAGACTTCATGTGATCAGCTGACGTGATCAGCTGATTTGATCAGCTGATGTGATCAGCTGATGTGATCAGCTGATTTCACGCATATCTCTATGTTGAGACAACACGGTGGATCCGACTGGCCGTCTGCCTTTTGAAAGAATGATCGCTGACGGAATGACGTTATTGAAAAGAGCACAGATACCTCTCGAGTGTATCGACGGCTGAGCGCCTTGTGTCGTGACTGCCGACTTCTGATTGTCTAACAAAGTTGGGCTGAGATTCTTAACAATTTTAGCCCCCTCATACATAGTAGAGTAAGATCTTAGACATCTTACTGGTACTGAAGGATCCGTTGTTTTCGAACGTCAAGACTAAAGACTTTCTCTCTCTCTCTCTCTCTCTCTCTCTCTCTCTCTCTCTCTCTCTCTCTCTCTCTCTCTCTCTCTCTCTCTCTCTCTCTCTCTCTCTCACTCCGCACTATCCTGTGTGCTCAATGGGGGCTCTCAACAGAAAAATGAGCAAAAGGAATATTCAATGAGCACCGTATTTTCAAGTCAAGGCGTTGTGCTCCGAGGAACACGAGTGAGCCAGACAACTTCGTCCACTTCTCACAAAGCTTCGCACGACCCGAGGTAAACACCAGCTGCTGGGGGGTCTCGAACCCCCGTGTTCAGGTGGTCCGAGTCGCCAGCTTTTCCGACCACAGCTTGAAGCTTCGAAGACACGTCCCGATGACGAGATTCAGAAGTAAGAGCGATGGAAGGAATGGGAGGAAGAGTAAGGGAGGGAAAAAAGAGGAAAAGCGGACGATAACAAAGGGGAAATGTGTCCTCTCTCTCCCCCCACCCCCACCCACCCCCTTTTCCCAAGGCGTTCCCCATCTTTCCCCAACAAGAAGGGAGGGAGAGGTTTCCCCTCTCTCTCTCTCTCTCTCTCTCTCTGGTTGGGGTGGGGTGATGGGGGTGGGGGGTGTGGTTGAGGGGGGGAGGGGAGGGGGGGGGAGCGGAGGGGGGAGAGGGGAGGGGGGAGGGGGGAGAGGGGAGGAGGGAGGAGGAGGAGGGTGACGTGAAGAGTCAGGGGAAGACGCTGAGGGAATTCGATAAGAATTCGAGTGTGAGTAAAAATGTCCTGTTGGGGAAAATGAATCTTGACAGACAAAGGTTTTGATTCGACATGTATACCCAACCCCCCCCCCCCACCTTACCCCTCCCCCCCCACCTCCCCTCCCCCACAACCCCCCCCCCCCACTACCACCACCCACCACCCTTGTTTGTGTTAGCGTGGGTGTTGTTGGGGTGTTTGCAAGGATTTGATTTTGTGTTGGGGGTGGAAAGGTTAATTTTGGCGAGGATTTGCTGTGTCGACAGGATTGTTGTGGTTGGGAAATGGTGCAACAGGACTTGTTGTGATGTTATCATAGCGTCCTCACCAGGTGCAATGATAACACAGATAACACCTTCCCCCAACACTGACCAATGTGGCATCATAGCACCATTAATATACCGAGGTATGCCCCCTATGGCGTCCCTACAACTTAAGAGTCACTCTATTAATTAATGGTATTTGGTGAGAGATTGGGAAGGGGGGAAGGGGGGGGGAGGGGAAGCTCTAAGAGGAGAAGAGGTGAAGGGGGGGGGGTGAGGAGAAGAGGTGAGAGGTGAAGACATGATGAGTGAGAGGTGAGAGAGGGGGGGGGGAGAGAAGCTTACCACTGCCCTCTTCTCATCATACCTTGAGGTTACCTTGAGGTGCTTCCGGGGCTTAGTGTCCCCGCGGCCCGGCCCGGTCGTCGACCAGGCCTCCTGGTTGCTGGACTGGTCAACCAGGCTGTTAGACGCGGCTGCTCGCAGCCTGACGTATGAGTCACAGCCTGGTTGATCAGGTATCCTTTGGAGGTGCTTATCCAGTTCTCTCTTGAACACTGTGAGAACTGGATAAGCACCTCCAAAGGATACCTGATCAACCAGGCTGTGACTCATGGGGACAAGAAACCTATATTTCCTGACCAGGTGAGCAAAGGTCTCCCAGACTAATTACTGTGGGATACTAAGCTGTTTGTTCTCACCCCCCTCCCCCAGCTCCTCCCCCGTCCCTTACCCCTCAGTCTCTGCTCCCACACCCCCATAACTCCACCCAGCAACCCCGGAACTCACCCCCTCCTCCCCGTCACTCCCAATTTCCCCACGCCCCACTCCCCCCACGCCCACTTCCCCACGCCCACTCCCCCACGCCCACTCCCCCACCCCACTCCCCACTCCCCCACGCCCACTCCCCACGCCCACGCCCACGCCCCCACGCCCACTCCACACGCCCACCCCTCCCACTGTCACCCTTCTCCCACTCCCACACCAGCATAAAATCTCAACTTGTGTCACCAGGCTGCAACGATCTACGAGAGGAAATCATCCTACACCAATATTAAAAAAGCCTGCACGAAACCGCTACATCTTTCATCAAACATAGCAATTGTGATTACATTTATTTAACATTTTAGCAGCTTGGAAACTTCCCAAGCCAAGGGCATTATTGGTATAAACGACCACGTGATGTCTCGGAACTATTAAACAGTTTAATAGACACAAACAAGGCCATCATTACTGAGGAAAGATGTACAGGTTTCGTAAGGGGGGGTTGTGTAAATGACTGATGGCTCCTGGCCCAGGTTATCTGGCTAGAAAAAAAGACTTTAAGGTTGATATTCCAGCAACCTGTCACCAGGAGCCAACATCAAAAGAATATATCATCAGCGGCGTACGCAAGGGTGACCGCCTTAAGAACTGCCTTCAGGGATCTCAACAAGAAGTTCAGTATCTTGTGAACTCAGTATCTATCATAGATAGATACAGTATCTATCTCAACGTTTAGTATCTTGTGTATCGTTTATTTCGGACCATTTCTGGAGTGCGCGGCACCGGCTTGGAGCCCCTAGTCTCGTCACCCACAATACAAAGCTACAGAAAGTTCAGAGGTGTGCCTCCAGACTAGTCACAGAGCGGAGAGGCATGAGCTACTTGGAAAGACTAAACAAGTTAAACCCCACGCTACATTGAGAAGAAACATGAGAAACATGATCACCACGTACAAGGTACTCAGGAAAAATGCAGAGCTGACAAGGATAGATAATCTAGCAAGATTAATACACGAATAAGGGAACATGGAAACTAAGAAGAGAGGTGGAGGAGAAACTCAATAAACAGCTTTAAATGTAGATTGGGCAGAGCCCAATAGACTCTGGAACCTATATCTAGTGGATTAAGGCGGGGCCCAAGAGCCAGAGCTCCTCCGCACATACAATTGGGTGAGGGGCGAGAGGGAAGGAATGAGTCGTAGATGAGATATGAGGAAAAAACGGGTGAGGGAAGGGTAAACAGCCTCGTATTGAGATGAGGGAAGTAATGAGGTGAGAGGTGAGGGAACCAGGTGTGAGAGATGAGGAACCAGGTGTGAGAGATGAGGAACCAGGTGTGAGAGATGAGGAACCAGGTGTGAGAGATGAGGAACCAGGTGTGAGAGATGAGGAACCAGGTGTGAGAGGTAAGGAACCAGGTGTGAGAGATGAGGAACCAGGTGTGAGAGATGAGGAACCAGGTGTGAGAGATGAGGAACCAGGTGTGAGAGATGAGGAACCAGGTGTGAGAGATGAGGAACCAGGTGTGAGAGATAAGGAACCAGATGTGAGAGATGAGGAACCAGGTGTGAGAGATGAGGAACCAGGTGTGAGAGATGAGGAACCAGGTGTGAGAGATGAGGAACCAGGTGTGAGAGATGAGGAACCAGGTGTGAGAGGTAAGGAACCAGGTGTGAGAGATGAGGAACCAGGTGTGAGAGATGAGGAACCAGGTGTGAGAGGTGAGGAACCAGGTGTGAGAGATGAGGAACCAGGTGTGAGAGATGAGGAACCAGGTGTGAGAGATGAGGAACCAGGTGTGAGAGGTAAGGAACCAGGTGTGAGAGATAAGGAACCAGGTGTGAGAGATGAGGAACAAAACGGGATAGGTAATAAATGCGTTATGAGAGAGAGAGAAAGAGAGAGAGAGAGAGAGAGAGAGAGGGAGAGGCGCCTGTTGGGTAGTTACAACTACAAGTAACTCAGCAACCACCCACTCAGGAATGCCGCCCCACCACCACCCCCAACTACCCCCACCACCACCGCCCCTCCTTCAGGAGTCATCACCTGGTGCCGGAGTCCCTCTACAAGCGACAACCAGAGACACAGTAATTAATAAAGCAACATATATCAAATTCCTTTCCGATGAGGACCAAGATTGGGCGATGCCGGCAAATAGAGGAGCTCCGCCTTCCACACCTCTCATCTTTTGTCTCACAACTTTCTCGCTCATTTTAAGACCCCCATCGCCGAGGTCCTCTTTTGAGAAGGCGGCTGCTTCCGCTAGACCCCCAGAGGACCTAAAACAGAAAACGAGACAGTACGTCGCTTTCGCCAGCCGCTTTACTAACGGGAGGTTAGTATACGGATAGATCCTATTTATAAAATATGTGAGCGCGCCTCCATTGAGGGATAGCTAGATGCCTCCTTCCCAATGCTTGACATAAACATTACAAGGACGATTAATTCGGCGGAATACTTAACAACTGAATGACTTGCGACCAACCACCCTGATCGAGTCCTTCACAAGATGGAAAAGCTGGAGAAAGTCTATTTAGACCCCATCACCAAGCAAGTCCCAGAGCTGATAGACATTTAGCTACTAGGGAAAATAAAACTTGTTGAAACAAACCTCATATCACTGGAAGATATATAAGTCAGAGGGAGACATGATTACCACATACAATATTCTCAAGGGGAAAATAAGAGGGGCATGCAAGAACAGATGTGTGGAATACTGTAGCTTAAAGACACAGGTGAAAATTTAGTAGCCAAATGAGCAACAGAAACATAGCTATATTTATTATTGTCAGAGTAACGAATAAATGACATACATAAATAATACATAAATAATACATAAAATACATAAAATACATAAAAAAAAAGAATTCGTGGAAGCTGAATGATCTAGAGCTTATACATTGCCTTCCTTCTTCCTTGGAAAGTCGAAAATTTCAGTTTGGCAGCAGTAGGATGCTGCTTTTTGGAAACTTTTCTTATTAAGATCACTCAATAGCTCTGTCGACAGAGCATCGGCCTCACACACGTGGGGGCACGGTTCAAGTCTCTTAGAGCCCAGGTGAAGGGAATATAGAGCTTCATGAGCATATATGACAGAGCCCCACAGGCTCCTGAACCTGTGCACCGGGGGCTTGAAAACCAAGGAACGGGAACACAATTCTCAAGAACAATTAGGCGAAAGCAATTTGGAGAACAATGAAATTATAACAAAGACATAACAGAGCACGAACACACGAAGAACAAGATTACAAACTAAGAAAAGTGTATGAACAACGAACAAAGACAGCGAGGTATATTACATCGACAAGAACAGAATGATTGAAGGGGAGTGGGGTGGGCATGAGGAAGGGGAGTGAAGGGGGGGTGAGGGGGGGTGGGGTGAGGGGGGTGAGGGGAGGGAGTGGATGGTGGGAGGGGGGGGGGCGTTATCACTAGCGTTTAACGAGGGTTTTTAAACGAGCGATTTCCCCTGCCTGTAATATCTAGAGGGATCGAACCAGGACCACCGCCGACTTAACGAGCTCAACCGTAATATATATTAATCCGCTGATATAGAATCCTGGAATCCCCTCAAAAAAAAAACCTCTCTCGTAGGCAATGTATCGTGGGATATTATCTTCCCCCCCCCCTTGCCCGCCCCCCCTCCTCTCCCTCGGTCTCTCTCCCTCTCCCTCTCCTCTCCTCTCTCTCTCTCTCTCTCTCTCTTCTCCCCTCTCCTCTCTCTCTCTCTCCTCTCTCTCTCTCTCTCCTCTCTCTCTCTCTCTCTTCTCTCCCTTTCGCCTCCTTATATCCCCCCTATCCTTCTTTCCCATTTCAGCCCCATTCCACATCTCTGCCTGGTTATCCATACGTTTCCATCTCTCTCCCTTTCTTTATCCAGTTCCCTCCTTGTCTCTTCCAACTCCAGTTCCCTCCCTCCTCCAGCTCCCTCCCACTGTGTCTTTCGGCTGGCCAGAGAGAGGGATTTAAAAATCCCGGATTACACCAGCACGGAAGCGATAACCATCTCCGTGTGAGGCCTCCCCCTCTCTATGTGGTCCATCACCCCCTCCCTCTCTCTCTCTCTCTCTCTCCTTCCCCTTCTTCTCTTCTTTCTCCTCTCATTCTACATTCGTCTCTTCCTTATACTCCTCCTCCTCCTTCGCGTTTTCCTTTTCTTCCCCACACCCCCCTTCCTGTTCCTTTTCTCTCTCTTCTGCTCCTTTATTTTATCATCTGCAGCTTCACATGCAGTTTCCACCCCCCCCCTTCAAGACGGGGAGACCACCTCCACCCCCCATCAAAACTGAGACCTCCACCCCCCCCCCCATCAAGACTGATACCTCCACCCCCCCATCAAGACGAAGGGGCTCTCTAAAAACGTGGCCCCCATTCAAAATAAAATTATTCCAGTGAGCAAAATATAACAAATTACTTCGACAAAAAATAAAAAAATGGACGTCCCATAGAAAACCCTTAAAATTGTCCGCCCCCTCCCCCCCCTTCCTCGTCCAAAGAAGTCATAAAGAGCCTACATTAAACATTTTTTCACACTAAGAATGAAAATTTCAAAAATTTGTTTTTGAATTTGAAATTTTGAAATTTTTTCAATGAATTTCAAAAAGGTTTTTCTCCCCCCTTCAAAAATATCCTACTGAAGAAACAAAATAAAACCTTTTTTTCAATATAGTTTTCTATTTGTGTTGGACTTATTTCCCCCCCCTCTCATCTCCTGTCGTTCCAAGTCCCGCCGGAGGACTGAAGTCGCCCATATAAGTAGAGATAGTCATCTCTTTCCCTCTCTTTCTTTCACTCTCTCTCACCGTCTCTCACAGATCATTTACCGTTAACAGATGCTGCTGTCAACAGTACCCTCCCCTCCCCCCCACCACACACGCGCCGTTACAGCCAGACTGGTTTGAGAGGAGATTAGTAAATCAGGGGACTTGGTTTATCCAGGATTGGTAAGAAGCATGATTACTGGGGGAAGGATTGTGTGGGGCGGATATCTTCGTCATGACTGGAAGGAAATAATGGCAGTTATTGTCTCCCATGGGTGTGGGAGAAATGTCCCATTCTCGGTCTCCCATGGGGTGTGGGAGAGAGTAGGACTGTGGGAGTGTGGGCGTATTTACTGTGTGCGCATGAAAAATCGAGCTATTAGCTCTTGGACCTGGTTAAACACAAGACAAAGTTAAAAAAAGATTCAGAGGTATGCCACTAGACTAGTGCCAGAGCTGAGAGGTATGAGCTACGAGGAAAGGCTACGGGAGCTAAACCTTACGTCCTTGGAAGACAAAAGTAAGGGGAGACATGATAACCACCTACAAAATTCTCAGGGGAGTTGACATTGTGGACAAAGATAAAGTATTTAACACGTGTGGAACACGAACAAGGGGACGCAGGTGGAAACTTAGTACCCAAATGAGCCACGGAGAAATTATAAATATTTTTTCAGTGTCAGAGTAGTTAACATATGAAATGCATTAGGAAGTGATGTGGTGGAGGCTGACTCCATACACAGTTTCAAATGTAGATATGATAGAGCCCGGTAGGCTCAGGGACCTGTACACCAGTTGATTGACAGTTGAGAGGCGGGACCAAAGAGCCAGAGCTTAAATCCTTCCCTTTCACTCCTGCCTGCATCTCCAGCTTGTGCGCCTGTCTCTAGTGTGGCACTGTGTCAAAGGCTTTCTGGCAATCCAAAAATATGCAGTCTGCCCATCTCTCCCTTCCTTGCCTGATTTTTGTTGCCTGGTCATAGAATTCAATTAATCCTGTGAGGCAGGACTTGCCATCCCTGAACCCATGCTGATGTTGCGTTACAAAGTTTTTTCGCTCCAGATGTTCCACTAGCTTTTTTCGCACATTCTTCTCCGTCAGCTTGCATGGTATGCAAGTTAGGGACACTGTGTACTCACCTAGTTGTGCTTGCATGGGTTAAGCTTTGGCTCTTTGGTTCCGCCTCTCAACTGTCAATCAATTGATGTACAGATTCCTGAGCCTACTGGGATCTGTCATATTTACACTTGAAACTGTGTATGGAGTCAGCCTCTACCACATCACTGCCTAATGCATTCCATCTGTTAACTACTCTGACACTGAAAAAGTTCTTTCTAACGTCTCTGTGGCTCATTTGGGTACTCACTTTCCACCTGTGTCCCCTTGTTCGTGTTCCACCCGTGTTAAACAGTTTATCTTTATCTACCCTGTCAATTCCTCTGAGAATTTTGTAGGTAGTGATCATGTCTCCACTTACTCTTCTGTCTTCTAGTATCGTGAGGTGCATTTCTCGCAGCCTTTCCTTGTAACTCATGCCTCTTAGTTCTGGGACTAGTCTAGTGGCATACCTCCGAACTTTTTTCTAGCTTCGCCTTGTGCTTGACAAGGTGCGGGCTCCATTCCGTACATGATAGCACCTCACACCCAGCACGATAACACCTCACAGCCAGCACGATAACACCTCACAGCCAACACGATAACACCTCACAGCCAACACGATAGCACCTCACAGCCAGCACGATAACACCTCACAGCCAGCACCATAACACCTCACAGCCAGCACGATAACACCTCACAGCCAACACGATATCACGACACAACCAACACGATAACAGCATCGAGCTATAGAGTAGTAATGAACTACTAAAACATATTCCCTTACATAGATGGACACCCAACCTTAATATAGTCGACCAGGTGACCACGAGGGCTGATCTGGTCGACACGGGGCCGTAACACGATAACAGTTCTAACTAAAATGATATCCTGTGTCGGCATTAATATGGTGGCAATATGATAGCCAGCATCCTTCCCTGTCCCCCCC